CCCTGGAGTTCTGGGATCCAGCCCCTTGCTGGGTTCCCTTCTCAGCAGGGAGTCTGCTTCTCCCTACTCCTCTGTCCCTCACCCTGCTGCTTCTCTCTCTCTCTCTCTCTCTCTCTCTCTCTCGCTCAGTCTCTCTCAAATAAGTAAAATCTATAAAAAAACAAAATTTGGTTCTTTAATAGAGATCAAGAAAATTGGCAAATTTTTAGCGAGACTAACCAAGAAGAAACTCAAATTATTAAAGAGTAGAAAGGGTCACTATAACTAACCTTATAGAAATAAAAAGGATAAGAAAATACTATGAAGAAAAGTATGCAAAAAAAAATATGAAATAAATTACTAAGAAAACAGAAACTACCAAAAATATCTTCGTGAAGAAACAGAAAAATCTGAACAGATCTACAACAAGTAAAGAAATTAAATAATTTCAAAAACTTCACACAAAGAAAAACCAAGCCCAGATGGTTTTACTGGTGAGTTCTACCAAACATTTAAAAAAGAATTAATACCAACACTTTTCAAACTCTTCCAAAATATAGAAGAGGAGAGAACATGTCATAATTCATTTTATGAGTACAGTATTACACTGATTCTAAAATGAGAAAGCTATCACAGGAAAAGAAACTATTGATCAATGTCTCTTTTAAATACAGAGGCAAAATCCTCAGTGTTAGCAAACTGAATCCAACAGCATATAGAAAAGTATATATATATACACCATGAGCAATTGGAATTTATCTCAGGAATGCAAGGTTAGTTTAACATTCAAAAATCAATGTAACATATCAATATTAAGATCAATGTAATGTATCAATAATAAAAACAAATACCATGTGATCATCTCAACAGACACAGAAAAATCACCTGACAAAAGCCAACATTCTCTCACAGTAAAAATATTCAATAAACTAGCAGTAGGAGGGGAATTTCCTCAACTTGATAAAGGGCACCTATGAAATATCCACAACTAACATCATGATTTACAGAAAGATGGAGGGCGTTCTCCTAAGATCATGAATAAGACAAGGATATGTACTCTTACCATATCTACTTAACATTGTAATGGAGGTTCCAGTCAGTGCGATAATGTAAGAAAAAGAAATGAAAGACTTCTGTATTGAAAAAGAAGTAAAACTATTTCTACTTGTAGATAGGATGTTGTATTTAGAAAGTTCTAAGGAACTGACTAAAAAAACTAAGAACAGATAAGCAGGTTCAGCAAGTTGGCAAGATAGAAGATTGATACATAAACCCAATTTTATTTCTGTAGCTTGAATTATAGTTTTATTTCTACAAACTGTTTAAAAATGCTCTTTTTCAAGTTGAATCAGTTCCCTCTACTCCTAATTTTCTGAGAGTTTTTAATAATGTATCACTATTTGATTGTGTCAAATGCTTTTTCTCCATCAATTGATATACATATATGATTTTTGTCTCTTCAACCTGTTGACACAGTGGATACGCTGAATGATTTTTAAATATTGAACCAGCCTTGTACCTTCTCTCAGCACTGCTTTGGAGGACCCACAAATTTTTTTTTAAAGATTTATTTATTTATTTGACAGAGATGACAAGTAGGCAGAGAGGTGGGGGTAAGCAGGTTCCCTGCTGAGCAGAGAGCCCGGTGCGGGGCTCAATCCCAGGACCCTGAGACCGTGACCTGAGCTGGAAGCAGAGGCTTAACCCACTGAGCCACCCAGGCGCCCCAGGCCCACAAATTTTTGATACGTTGAGATTTTGTTCAACTCAATGTATCCTCCCCAAGACAAGCACATCCAGTCTTGTCACTTTTTTTAACACAGTATGGAGGCCAGAGCAATAATACAAGAAAAAGAAGTAAAAGACTTTCATACTGGAAAGGAAAAAGTAAAATTATGTTTATTCAAGGATGACATTATCTACATAGAACATCTGATGCAATCCACAAAAAAACCTATTAGAAATAGTAAGCCAATTTAGCAAGGCTATGGTATGCATATCAATATATAAAAATTGATCACATTCTTATATAATGAAGACAAATAACAAAATTAAAATAAAAAACACACATTAGCATGGAAAAATATGAAGTATTTAGGGATATATCTGATAAAAGAGATAAGCTTGTATACTGAAAACTATAAAGCACTACTGAGAAAAATTAAAGACCTAAAAAATGGGTGGGGAGGGCAAGATCTACTGTGTTCATAGTTCAGAAGACTATTTAAGATACCAGTTTTCCAAACTGAGGGTTGATGGGAGGAGGGGGGTTGGGAGGGGGGGGGGGGGGTTATGGACATTGGGGAGGGTTTGTACTATGGTGAGTGCTGTGAAGTGTGTAAACCTGGCGATTCACAGACCTGTACCCCTGGGGATAAAAATATATTATATGTTTATAAAAAAATAAAATTAAAAAAAATTTTAAAAAAAAATTAAAAAAAAAAAAGATACCAATTTTCTCCCTAATGACCAACAGAGCCATCACAATCCCAACCAAAATCCCATAAAGCTTTTTGTAGAAATTGAAAGCCAATCATGAAACATATGGAAATACAAAGGATCCCCTGTAGCCAAAACACCACTGAAAAAGAAGAAAAAGTTGTCCATCTAACACTACTTAATTTCCAACAGCAGTAATAAAAACAGTGAAGTAGGAGCTTAAAGCCAGATAAATGGAGCAATGGGACAAAAAAGAAGCTCCAAAAATATACCCACACCTGCAGGACAACTGATTTTTGACAAAGATGCAAAAGCAAGATAAGATAAATTACTAAATAAAACAAGGCAGACAGAGAGGAGTACATACAAGCAACTCCATTTATATGAATTAAATCAAATGCCTCTTCAGCATCTCTTCTTTGCTCCATCTCTGAGCTAACTGGAACTAATTCCAAAGACACTAACCATTTGTCCCAATTAGATCAGCTGCCATCCTCCTTATGGGCAAAATCTCCAAGGGATATTGGCAGAATCCACAGTGCACCTCCTATCCAGACTCAAACAGATCCTTCCGAATCTCTCCCCAGAACTAGCCAATACTGCATAAATAAAGCAGCCTTTCAAGTTATCAAGTCCATCATAGAAGATCACAAGGATCAGGGCCTCATTATCTCCGGCAGCAGACCCTGGAGTATCTCTAGCTCACCTGCAAGAACACTCAGTGGCTGAGGACGAAGCTTTGTCTGGGAACCTGAGCAATAAGTACCGCTGATATCCCTCAGCACCCTGCTGTTCTAACCCCACACATCCTGACACCCAACCCCACTGAAACCAAATTGCTCACTGTGACTGATCTATGCAGTGCATTTTTTTAGTATTCCAGTAGATAAGGATAGCCAAAATCTTTTTGCTCTCACTTGGGAAGAATTAAGATCCATCTGGATAGTTATGCCCCAGGACTTCTCAGAGTCCTTCTTAACGTTATAAACCTTAAAAGCGGATTCGGACGACAGAAGGTTTTCTGCAGGCTCTACTTTGTTCCAGTAGGGAAATGATCAGCTCTTCTGCTCTGCTTCTCAGACCTCTTCACAGGAAGGGAACGTTCATCTGTTAAAACTTTTGCCTTTAAAGGGACATAAAACCTTCAAAGAAAAACTGCAGTGTATTCAAACTCAGGTTGGAGACTCAGGGCCCCTGATCTCGGGACCAGGACTAGATTTGGATCCAGGGAGACCTCAAGGCATCCTGAACATGCCTAAACCTAAAACTGAATCCCAATGACGAGGTTTTCTTGGACTAGCTGACTGCTGTCGAAACTGGATCCCAAACTTTCTCCTACAGCTCAACCTCTATTGCTTTCCTGAAAAATCAACAAACCTGACCCTATTAGTTGGAAAGATCGGGGTGACAGAGCTTTTGCGACTTCAAAGAAAAGTCTAATAAGACCCCTGCCTTTGGACATCTTAACCATCAACTTCCCTTTTTCCTCTTTGTCTGTGAGAGGGAAGGAATGCCCTTGGAGCGCTCACCCCACCAGGGACCATCATCGCCCTGTAGGGCACTACAGCTAACAACCAGACCCTGAATATGGCTCAGGTATAACCCCCCTTGCCTCACAGCCATTCCTGCCACTGCCCTCTTAGTTAAGGCCACTCCAGAAACAGTCACAGGGTCCCCTCTAACTATCCCTCTGCCCCATGCAGTAGAAGCCCTCCTGAATTCTCCTCACACTCAAGGATTTTCAGCCAGTCACCTCGCCTCCTGACTTCCTCCTGCTAGACGCTGCCGTGTAACTCTTCCTCACCGCATAGACTTAGCCCTGCTACTCTTCTCCTCCCTCGTGACTGCTTAACACTGACAGATCACCTTTTGACAGTTTACAGGAATTTCTCTGCAGCTCAAATGCAGATTTTTAATGGGTTACTGATGGTTCTTATTAAAGGATGAACCTGTTAAATACCGTGCTGGGTCGGCCGGAGGAACTCCCTTTGAAGCCACTGAGGCAGCACGTTTACCTTTAGCGACTTCAGTCAAAAGGCTGAATTGCAGCCCCGGACTTGATACCTAGCCAAGGGTAAAATAACCAGCATTTACATCAAGAGCTGGTATGCTTTCCAGCAACTCTTGACTTTGAAATACTATGGAAACAGTGAGGTTTACCTCCAATGGAGATAAAATTTTAAATGGCTATATCCAAAATTTATTACATGATATATTTTCACTGGCTGCTCTGGCCATTATTAACATTCCTGGCCATTCTGCATATGACTCCCTGGAGGCCAAAGGCATTCATGAACCAATACTGGGGAGGGGAGAGCTAATAGGGCCACAGAAAGTGCCTACTTTGCTTGTCCCACCCGTTCCGAACCCAGTCCGGGGAAAACTGCTCCGCTCCCAGACTCCGGACCGCCTGCTGGGCCACTCCAGTTTGCCAAGTGGATCTCCTACAGCCTCCCTGTCTCAGGGACAGACAGACATTTCAGTCATGGTCTGTATGTTTGGTCACTGGACTGAAACGTTCCCTTGTAGACAGGCCACTTCTTCTCATGTGGCTAAAATTCCGTGAGAAAGAGAATCCCTACCTGGGGACCCCTCTCCAACATCCCCGCGATCAGGGAATCCCTTTTACTGGGGTGGGGGGGGGGCTCTGGGAGATCTGCGCTGTCGGTGTGCGTTATGACACTTGCCCTGTGTACACCGTCCTCGGTGCTCAGAGTTCGTCGCACTCACTGATGGTGTCATGGAGTCTCCGCTGGGAACATTTGTGGAGATCATAATATAATTTGGAGTTACCATATTACTTTTTCTGTTGTGTATAATTATATTTTAAGTTTTGCATTTTTTAAAATAGGTTCCACATGCAACACAGGGCTTGAACTCACAAACCTGAAATCAGGTCCTGAGATCAAGTGTTGGACCTTCCACCAACTGAGCCATCCAGGTGCCCCAAGTTTTGCCTTTTATTGCCTGTTAAACTTTTGCAAAAACGATGTGCCCAATAAGGTGACTCTAGCTCATGCTTCAAGATGATTTCCAACACTTACAACCTTGAGAAGACAGACTTTAGATGGGAAATACCTGAGAGTTTCTCCCTCCTCACCTTCCTTGTTACTCAACTGTGGCCTTAAGTGCTTTCCAACTGCTAAGCACCTTCCCTCTGATGTAGGACAGGACAACCAGGGAAGGTCCTCCCTGGCACCAAGGGACAAAGCAACTAAATACAGAAAACCTGACTCGGAACCAGCGATGCTTTGGGGGAAAGATATTGATTAAAAGAGGGAAATGAGGGGCACCTTGGTAGCTCCGTTGGTTAAGCATATGCCTTTGGCTCAGCAAACTGACTACATGAAAAGGGCAAAACATCATGATCACATGGGGTTCATTCCAATGCAAGGCTGATTCAACATCTGTAAGTCAATCAATGTGATTCATCATATTAATGGAATGAATGAAAAAAAAGACAGGATTGGAATGTCTGGTGGCTCAGTCAGTTAAGTGTCTGCCTTTAGCTCATGACCTGGGGAGCGTGCCTCCCCACTGCCCCCCCCCCCACACCTTCCCCTGCTTGTGCTTTCTCCTGCTCTCTGTCAAATAAATAAAATCTTTAAAAATAATAATAATAAAATTAAAAAATAGAAAGATAGGATTATATTAATATATGCAGCACAAAGTTCAAAACCCATTCATGATAAAAACTCTCAAAAAACTTAGAAGGGAAGTTCCTTAACCTATTAAGACTATTTTTAAAAATCACAGCTAACATCATACTAAATAGTGAGATAAGTTTTCTCCCTAAGATCAGAAATGAGGCAAGGATGTCCTCTCTCACCACTTCTAATTCAACTTCATAATAAAAGTTCTAGCTAGTATATGGGCGCCTGGGTGGCTCAGTGGGTTAAGCCTCTGCCTTCGGCTCAGGTCGTGATCTCAGGGTCCTGGGATCGAGTCCCGCATCAGGCTCTCTGCTCGGCAGGGAGCCTGCTTCTCCCTCTCTCTCTCTCTGCCTGCCTCTCTGCCTACTTGTGATCTCTCTCTGTCAAATAAATAAATAAATTCTTAAAAAAAAAAAAAAGTTCTAGCTAGTATAATCACACAAGGAAAAAAAATAAGAGGTACGCAAATTGGATAAAAAGAAATACAACTATCTTTATTCACAAACAACATAACTATCTATGCAGAAAACCCCAAAGAATCTACCAAATAATTCCTGTACATAATAACTGAATTTAGCCAAGTTGAAAAGTACATGATCATGATCTAAAAGTCAACTGCTTTCCTATATGCCAGCAATGAATACTTGGAATATGAATTTTAAAAAACAATACATTTATAATAGCAGTCCCCAAAATGAAGTTCCTAGGTGCAGAGGTAACAAAATATGTACAGAATCAGCGTTCTTGAATTGGAAGACCCAACATAGTAAAGATGTCAATTCTCCCTTAGCTTCATGCAATTCCTACCGAAGTCTCAGCCAGCTTTTTGGAGACATACTTAACCTTGTTCTAACATTTACATGAACAAGTAAAGGTATTAGAACAGCCAATTCAATTCTAGAAAAGGAGAACAAAGTTGGAGGATTCATACTACCTGATTCCAAGACTTACTATAAAGCAATGACCACAAAGGGGCAAAAGAATGGACTCATCCATCAATGGTACATAACAGAGCTTAGAAACAGACCCACAAAAACACAGTCCATTTTGACAAAAGTGCCAAGACAAATCAATAGAGAAAGAACAGCCATTCAACAATTGGTGCCAGACATTGGAAGTACATATGCAAGAAACTAAACCGCACACAAATATTAACTCGAAACAGATCACTGACCTGTATGTAAAATGCAGACACTATAAAATTTCTAGAAGAAAACACAAAGGGAAATCTGCATGATCTTGGGTTTGGTGATGAGTTTTAAGTACAAAGCAAAAGCAAATTTATGAACAAAGAAACTTTCAAGTTGGATTTAATTAAAATGAAAACCCTGAACTCTGTGAAAGTCACTGTGAAGAGGATGAGAAGACACACTGGGAGAAAATATCTGCAAATCCCACATTTGATAAAGGACATGTACCCAGTATATGCCAAGAACTTTTAAGGCTGAATAATAAGAAGACAACTCAATTTTTCCAAATTGGCAAAATGAGAGAGAGGGTAAGGGGAGAGGGCGGGGGTGGGAAGGAGAACATGGTGGCAGGAAGGACAGGTTCCAGGATAGACAGAAGATGAATTTAACATTCGCAGAAGGACTAACTACTACTGTTTCCTGCTCATATATTGGTTGGGTAATTAGAGATATTATAGGTATCTACAGATAGTATTTCTATTTAAGAAAAAAAATGGAAAAGGCCATCAGTGTTTATAAATTGTGGTTGCTGTAGTATTTTTCTTGTAGAAAAGAAATTGGTATTAATTTGAATACTTTTGAGAGTAAGAAACGGTTGTGCAAATTCTAACACATTCTAATATTTCTCATGGAATACAAACCGGTTATGTTTCCACCAAGTTAGGTTTACAAGTACTGAGCTGGAAAATTGACTGTAATACAGTGATAAGTTAAAAAACAAAAGCAAATGCAGAGTAATAATTTTAGTCTAGCTACATTTATCTGTAAAAATTTTCAAAATGATAGAAAAATGCATTTGTGCATTAGAAACATAGGGAGAAACTGGCGGCACATGGGTCAATCTGCTAACACCAGTTTTAAAAGATTTACGTTTGGACCAAGAAAGCAAGTGTTTGTCTTATTTTATTCCTTTATACACTTCTGTATTGTTTGAGCTTTACTTTGGAATTAAAAATAAACCCTGTTATTATATTTTTTAGGTTCTACTGAAACAAAAAAATGTGCAAAAGATCTGAACAGATACCTTATTAAAGATCTACAGATGAAAATAAGCATATAAAAAGATTCTCATTATGGGGAAGCTAGTTAAAAACATAATGATATACCATTATACATCTATTAGAATAGCAAAAAACAAAAACTCAAGAGAAACCAGCAATATCAAATGCTGTCACGGTAGAGAGCAACAGGAACCCTCTTTCCCTGCTGGTGGGAATGAGTGCGGCACGGTAGTACCATTCAGAAGGTAGCTACAGTGATGGATACATGATGCCATCCATCTGTCCAAACCCCCAGAACTATTTTAGAGCATGAAGAATAAACTTTAATGCAATATTTTAAAATGCAAATAAAAAAATCAACTGGGGAGTGAAGAGAAGGGGGATGCAGACTATGACAAAAGAATTTCATTGTATTATGGGACACTTGGGTGGCTCAGTCCGTTAAGTGTTCAACTCCTGATTTCAGCTCAAGCCAGTCTCAGGGTCATGGGATTGAACCTGAGTCAGGCTCCATATGCAGCGTGGAGACTGCTTCAGATTCTCTTTCTCTCGCCCTGCCCTTCCCCTGCTCATGTGTGCACACACTCGCTCGCTTTCTCTCTCTCTCAAATAAATGAACAAATCTTAAAAAAAAGAATTTAATTGTATTTCAAATATATAAATATATGACATAAACCCACAGGAGAAAGGGACCTGTGTAGTTTGGAAAAGACTGGAAACTGAAAGACAAAACAAAAGGAACTATACATTCCCACTATAGTTGGAAACACTGTTTCTCATGGAGGTGCTGGTTAATGATTTTGATAGTGAACACATATAATAGGGCTGAAAAAATAAGTAAAAACATGGTGAATGGCAGAAGCCAGGTTTTTCACTGCTGGGATTGGGAGGTTACAGATAACCGGTAAGTAAAGGGGCAAAGGCTAGAATGAACTGTGGAGTTCTGAATTAGAGTCTGAGACATCACTGGGAACTTCTGTTTAGCTTAATACAGAAACTGATGAGTAAAAGTAAAAATAATACAGATGTATGCATACACAGGTAAATAAATATACATATATTTATTTCCTAGCTCTGCTCACTCACAGGACCTAAAAACAATGACATCCCAGTAGCAATGAGCACATCAGAGCAAATCCTGGGTTTTAATACCATTCTCCAGTAAAAAGATCCAGAGACCCTGCTTCTCTCCCTTTCCTTCTGCCCCTACCCCTGCTCACATGCTCTCTAAAATAAATAAATAAACCTTTAACAAGATAATTTTAGAGACCACAAAGATAGATTTTTGGGGTCACAATTTTCTACCAAACTAGGTGTCCATTCTAATTGCCATTAAAGAAAATGATTTCCAAGAGAGAATAACATTATAACTTCTTAGAAATTAAGCCAAAGAACTATCAAAGCATTGACATTTTTATGGAACAAGCATAAGTTACATCTCTTAGATCAACTGTAAAAATACTTCAGACCTGGGGCGCCTGGATGGCTCAGTGGGTTGAAGCCTCTGCCTTTGGCTCGGGTCATGATCCCAGGGTCCTCGGATCGAGCCCCACATCGGGCTCTCTGCTCCTCGGAAAGCCTGCTTCCTCCTCTCTCTCTGCCTGCCTCCCTGCATTCTTGTGATCTCTGTCTGTCAAATAAATACATAAAAATAAAAAAAATCTTAGAAAAAAAAAACTTCAGACCTGCAAAATCTTCAGTTGTGCTCATTTATTTTCCTGTAGTTTCCTATTTTCTGACACAAAAACTACTTTTATATTTTTAATTGCAATGTTTTAAAAAG